AAATACCTGATGGGGTCACTTTTAAGGGAAGAACCATTTCTTTTACTAACTACCCTTATTAATGGCACTTTTCTGTTAAACTATACTCAAAATTAGGATAACTTCCAGGAAACTACTGCAGTTATGGAATACTCCCTAGACTGTGTTTCATTGACAAAGATAACAGCCATTCTCCCAGGCAGGGCAGAATCTCTGCAGAGTTGGAAGTCATGTTCTTGCTTGCTTTATCCCTTCTGGTGTGTGGGAACCAGTGTCAGCAAAGAACAGACCAAAGCGTAAAGCTCTGGCAATTCTTAAGTAGGTGTGGAAAAGTTTATTGTGACCTTTTTTAGATGCATTTTTTTTTTGAGATCATGAAGACCATACAGTATTTCCCATTTTTTTTTTATGAATGTACCTGATTTCTTTCCTTCCAGACTCCCTGAACTTCATGATTTTTTTATTTTAAGGACATACTGCTGATGGGTTTTTCAGAATGCTGAGATCCTGGTCATGCAGGATTTTAGCACATCTGCAGTCAGTCCTCAGCAAGAGATGTGAAAAAACTCAGAGCTAGACCATAATAGAAAGGATTGTGTAATATGCTGTGCCCAGCTAAATCGACTTTGTAATGAATGTGGCAGAGATTTTTTTTTTCTTGAGGCTGTTGGATGCAAGTAGGATCCTATAGTTCTTACTAGACTAGAATTTGTAAGAAACACTACACATAAACATGTTCCTGTTGAAAATCTGGTTTAAATAAAAGTTTTCCATGCAAAAAGTTCTTGGTTTTTTTTTGTTTGGGTTTTTTTTGTGTCTTTTTTTTTTCCTGTTTGTTTGGGGTTTTTTTTATGTTTTTGTTTGTTTGTTTTGGTTTTTGTTTGTTGTTTTTTTCCTTTTAGAGGGAGTATTCTAAGCAAATCTTTGCTCTGAACAGAGAAAGAAAATATTTCATTGTATTGGGAGTATGCTTTGAGAAAAACAGTCTTCAAATTCTCAACAATAATACAAAAAGCTAAATACGGCCTGTGCTCTGGAGGGGTTCCACACCATGTCTCCTCAAGTCCTGCATTAGATCAGGCATTTGAGAGAGGACTGTTGCCTAGATGGTTGCCTATTAACTCACCACCTTTGAACCCAGGATATCCTGGTAATGAAACAAGGGGAATGTTTGCAACTGTCCATCTGGTTCATCCAGCTTTAGCTGGTGCAAATCTGGTGTTTATGGCCAAATAATTGAGGCAATACTGCCAAACAGTTCAGAAGAAAAAAATATATCACAGTGAATATCAGTACTGTTTCTGTTTAATGTCTGCCCTTTCTTTCATAAAATTTAGGAGTTGCTGTGAAATATAGAATTTGCAGATAGTTGAGGCTTTCTTTGCAGGTGTAATGTTTTGGTTCCTCTTTATCAAAATGACTGTTGATACAGTTTTTCAAAGTTACAAGTTGTGATATCACTTTCTCAGGATGATACTCTGGAGGGGAATTTCTTCAACGTTGCCCATAAAGCTGAGATACATCTGTGCCATTGGTATTGAAAAAAAACCAACCAAGACACCATGAACCAACTGCTTTCTTTACAAGTGCCTACAGCTCTCCAGGATATACAGACTGAGCAGTTGTATCTAATTATTAGAGCACCTCATTAGGTCAGTGGCAGGGATTTTGAAACATGTAGTGAAGTTAGTCTGTCATTGTAGGTATCTCAAATAAATCCTTTTTTCTTGAACTATTATCTAAGAGATTAGAATGCCATTCTGCAGTATGGTACTTTCTCTTAGATATTGATTTGTATAAGGCTATATTGTTTAATTAAACATGCACTTCTTAAGTGGCAATTGAGTGGTGGCAAGGGTGGAATAAGGAGCTTAAATCTCAGAGAAGAATAAATACTTGAATTGAGTTTACAAGTGTTTTGAGATTCTTGTTGTCGTCATGATAATAAAAACCTACCAACATAAAAGGTCAGTGGTTTAGCTCATATTTGACGTGGTCATAATTTCAGAACCTTCCCCTTACAGATCTGCCAGGTAATTAATTTGTCAGGAAGTGTCCTTCCTAGTTCATATTTTCTATATTGTATTAAAAAGTCAACCAGAAAGAATATTTTCTTCCTTCTGCTGTAAGCACTTTGCATTTATCAATCTGCACAAGATGAAAATGCTCACAGCCCCATTGCTATTTCATACTAGAATATGTTCAGTCCAGTCATATCCAGGGAGCTCTGATATACTGGAATTTTTGGTCTATCAGCAAGGGGAAAATCTGTCCCTCTGTGCACTGTTCCAGAGGGCCTGTATGTATAATGTGGTGCTTCTCAGAGTAAGCAGTATGGAAGAGCTGGCCCCTCTTTAAAACATGCTCTTTGGAGTCCAACAAAACTGTTCCAGTCTCTCTTTGGATGAGCATAGACTCGGAATTGCTTTGTGATCTTTGAAAGTGAGGCACTGTGACATTTAGCTGTCAGCCTTAGAGCATTTTTCAGGGTGTGGCAATAGTCCATGGCATTGATCTAATTAGAAAAATACATGTTCAGTTCTGATGATAATTTATTGTGATTTTTTATTTACCATATTTGGGAAAACTTGATGCATTACTGTTTCACTCTTTATGTGTTAAGTTTTTCCTGAAGTGATGAAACGATCTTTATTTCAAATACTCTGTCATTATTTTTCCTTTTAATTAAAGTTTTGAACTGATTTGGGGAAAATGTTTATTTTTTCCCAGAATTTTCTTTAGCCTAGAAATTATTTATTTACCCTGTTTTTGTCAAAGGTCCTAATTAGATATCTGTGTCTGGCTTTTAAATCCTTAGAAATTGGAATTTCTTATATCAACACTGTCATTGCTGTAGTTACAGATCATGTGCTTTTCTGTTTTCAAACCAGGCACGGAATTGTAATTGTCTGATCTGTTCTTCAACTGTTTAAGGAAAAAAATAAAAGGAAGTGGGGTAGTAAAAATTGTTTGTAGAGTAACCTTGAAACAACCTCCATGGCATTTATAAGGATTCAAATAGTTATCTCTATTTCTTTTGAGTTCTTTTTTTTTTTCCCCAAATGTGTCTTGTTAACTAATTCTCTCATTGTGAAGAGCAAACTTTATAAATAGTGGCATTGGGAATGTACATCACCAGTTCTCTGGGTGTAAAAACATGGTCACTCCAAAAGAACAAAATGAAAAGAAACATGATACATTTGAAATACGCATTTCTGTCCTGGATGAGGAACTGGGAGTACAGGGAATCTGTATAATCATCCGATCTGCTCCACATCGTGTAAGAGGATGTACAGAGAGCAGTGCCTTGAGCTGTCCCATCCCATGAGAATCCTGCCCTCGCTTGTTCACCCTTGGTTCTTATTGTAAACCCCCAAAACCACAGTGAATCTGCATTCCAGGTAGTTTTCCAGTTGTGTGGCAAGACTCCTGTTCTTATTTGGCTTTATTAGGTGTACAGTATCAGTCTCTAGAAGCCTTAGGTTTTACTTGTGGAGTCTTTTTCTATTCTGTTTTTTATTTCTTTGTTTGTTTTTGTTACTGTATTTTAATGGAGGAGAGGCACTCACTGTTGCTTGTTTGTGGGGTATTTCTATAAAAATGATTGGGAGCTATGACAGGAATGTCTGTCAAGCTTGGAAGTAGCAGAATCCATTCCATTAGTGGTCTCTTATTCAAAAAGACCAGATCCTTATTTACAGCATGCTTTTGCTACAATTGTGAAGTAAGAAGCTCTGCTTTGCCTAGGTAGTGCAATGGGATCTGTACTGTCAGCAAGTATTTTATGGTATGTTTTATCTCTCTCCCTTTGACTGAAAACAGTATTTTGAGTATCTGATTGGGTTTGATTGTGATATTTACCTACAGGTTGTAGGTGCTGATATGAGTGACAGTCTTTGGGACACCTCACTGTATTTATCAGCTCTGTTGCTGTCTTATTTTTTAATTTCCTGAAGGCAGCAGTCTTCCTTCTTGGTTTAGTAATTGTACCTTGCTGTAGGCAGTGGGCTTATTGGCCAGATCTGGTTTACCTAGGCATTATGGTTATGTAAGTAACACTATGTAATACAGTAATAAAAATTATAGTGTAATTCTCCTTATTTAGATCCCTAGGTAGTTCACTTAGATAAAAAGGTGGGATTAATTGAACTGAAAAATATTTTTTTGTAGAGAGAAATTTTGTTTGGATTTTACTTACGCAAAACTGCAAGAAAAAGTCAAATGCTCTAGTAAATTTATTTGCTTTGAAGATACATGCTCAAATTGTAACATCTTAATAAAAAGAATGTTTGTGGGAACACACCTCGACTAAAAATGAATGGCAAAGAAACTGCCTTGCAAGACAGTTATGATGTGATTCTCTGAGGTGCATCTGAGATGTCTTGCACTTGATGGTATGGTAGCATTCCCAGGACTGCAGGCAGCTGAAATTTTCAGTTGTATTTAGTATTTTTAATATCTTTTAGTTTCTTCGCTTTTCAAACACAATTAAATACTGATCTTCTGAGATGGTTCTAATTGTTCAGACAGAAATACTAATTTTTCAGGAATGCTGTTAATGTTTTGGGGGGAATGTAACATTTCTGAGATGCATACATAATCTGTAAATTGCAATTCTGCTGGAATATATGTAATATAAAGTTCTTCTAAGGACATAATGTGTACAAAACATTGCTGTTTAGATGCAGCCTGGGAAAGCAGGAATCTTTCTTGGAGCTGTTATGATCATGCTGTGCTGTCTTCTGGGAATGGCCTCTTATTTTACTTTTGCATTTTATTTATGCAATGAAGTGCCCAGGCCAGGAGTTGTTTTAGCAGAGAGGAATCTTAAACATAAGATCCTTTTAAGCTATCTCAGGATGGGCACTCCAAGCAGCAAACAATTATTTTAATGTTAGTATATTTTGTGGAGGTCTTGACCAGTGAATGAAGAAATAATTTTGCACAAACTTTTTTGTAGTCAGAACTTTAAAACCAAATGATCATTTGCCTGATTCTATACCTCTCTTGTCTCTTTCCAGGTCTCTCTGTACAGTAGTGTGCAAGTGGACATACACTTCAGATGGAGGCTGGGATGACAGTTTCTGGAAAATGATTGGTTTGGAAGATTTGGTGAAAGATAAATATGAAAAAATAGGTAAATCAGGGAATTGTTTTATACATTTAAAAGTTATATACATAAATATGTATATATATATATGTATAAAAGATATATTAATGTGAAACGACCTACTGAATTATTGTGAATATCAGCAGAAATGTGGCAGGACTTGAAGCTTCAGGTGGGTTGATAAAAAAGCTGGATGCCCACAGGTAACAGCTTTCCCTAGCACAGTTTTTATTTGGCATTGTCATAAAAAACTGTTTAAATTTTATATCTTCTACCCTTCTGAAAGGCCTACTTAGCCTTTCAGTTCTGCTCAGCCTCAACAACTGAGAAGTAACTGTGAGCCTTAGCAAGGGTTTGCACGTAGGAAGCACCTGATCTGGGTATATTGGGTGGCAGGCTACAAAAAAAGCCACAATGTAATAATTTATACTGTTAGTGATAGCATGTTTTCTGACCTGTACCAATTTCCATTATAGTAATTTATTTTTTTTAAGTGCTGCTTCTGCATGTTATTATCTTCATACTGGGTTTTTTGCTGTCTTAGAGCCTAAGTTTAATTAGAATGGTAGCCTTGCTAATAGCAGTTCCTACAGCAGATATTCATTAAAAGTCCATAATGTTAATATACCAGAAAATTTCCAGGATAACTTTATTAGACTTTCCCTGTTAAGTTAATGGACTTTTAATGGATGTCCTAAGCAGACATGTCATTAACAAGAATATTACCAGACATGAATTAAAATATGCTCGTTCATCAAAGTTAATTATCTGAAATTTCCTTTGATTTTTTTTTTTTTATGTCTAGCACTTTGAACAAGTTTGTACAGTGGTTTAAATGAAGCAACATGAAGTAGAAATCATGTAGGGAGGACTGTAGTGAAATGAAATATTATCTATAAACTTTTCTGATGATCACAAAATATAGGTAATTTTCATGTTATCAGAGAATAGTACTTGAAAGCTTCCTTGAATAGATTTCAGTTTTTCCCCCTGCAAATGAAACTGCTTATACAAAGGTATAACATGTACTAGGAGTATTAGGCTTTTAGCTTCCTGAGGTTTTGGGTTGAGTACAATTCTTACAACATTTATCAGATGTGGCTTTTAGCAAATCTTCAACATGTTAAAATAAGACATGCAATAAATACATGTTTTTTACCAGAAAATGGAACATCTCGGCTGGTGGTCTCATGGAAGAATATTTTTTAAATAAATAATTCATAAAGTGTAAGCTAAGGCTTTAATATAATATTTATGCAATGCATTTCAAGGACAGTGCAAAGCCATTTGCCATTTTAAGTAACTAAACATACATGTTTTAAGTGATCAAGTAGCCATTAATAAAAAGGGCCTTTTGTTGCGATGGAAGCCTCGTAAAATAATCTATGTCTGGCTCAGCATTTAGCAAGACAAAAAACGTTCATTTCCAGTGTCAGGCTTACATTTTTGTTAAAACACAATGTTTACAGAATAAATCAGTAAATTTACTTCTGTTGATTGGTGTTTCTTGCAAGACAAAAATGTTTTCCTGAGTTAATGGGGAAAGTGTCTAGTTCCCCAGGTGACTGCATTGATTGTTGGGGAAATGAACCTTGGAATGCCTGAGTGGGTCTCTGCTGGAACAGGAGCAGCACAATCTGACCTCCAGAATTGCACCAAACTGGAGGGTAGACCCTGAAGCTTCTGAAGAGCACATACTTGTATTCACCTTGAGAAATCCTCTGGTTTTCAAATTCTTGGGCTGGTGACCCTAGGTGTGTCCAAAGTAGAAGACACTTCTTGTTTAGCAAACTGAGGCTGAAACCTTGCCTGAGGTAGAATATATGCTTGTTTCTATGACCATTTGTCTAACCTTTCCTTTTTAAAAAATGAACATGTTACATTTCTTATATTTAACTGTGTGATAAAACAGAAATGCAGGGCAGTGGCCTTCTTTCATGTGTCTCTGAAGAGGGAGGAAAGAGCACTCTGTACAGGTGTGCAAACCAGATAGCAATTACGCCATTCTATTGAATTTAGAAGATAAACTGCACCTGTTGGAGTCTCTCGGAAGGGTTTAGCTTCAGAAGGAGACATAACCACACCAAAACAAAGCAACTCACTCCCTGGCCAGAGGCTACTTGACAATGCTGAGGTCTCTGTTGTGTGCTGTGGAAGTGCTTTGCTTTCTGCCACCCCCTTTCTTATCGGTGTTTCTGGCCTGCACATAGGAAAATAGGAATGTTAACATTGTTCTAGTCAAGGATTGGGGGGTTTGCTTGTTTTAATGGGTGTTCATTGGTCTTGGGAAGGGCACTCTGAATAAGCTCAGCTTACTTTGAATTTAAATTAATCAGGTCAGTGTAGATCCACCTGCCAGGAAAGTGCCATTCAGTCACTCAAGCAGCACTAGTTAAACTGCAGCTGCAATGGTCTGTGCAGTGGAAGACTCCATCCTACCAACTCCCAAGGTGTTGGCATTGGTGGCAAAGCACCATTCCTGCTTAGACCTCCTCCTAGTAGCCCACAAATGCTACACTGACAACAGCAAGCATAGGATCACACCTTGCACAAACTCAGCTATTTATAGTGTTGCTTCAGGGTGCTGCCCTAAGTGAGCAGTCTCAGCTGCTGCTAACATCATGTTGTACAAAAGGAAAGCAATTTGTTTAACTTGTATGGGAAAGCAGTCAGAGTCTGTGCTTCCAAGAAGCACATCATATTGTGCTATATGGCTGACAGGAGAGTATTTGAAGCAATGGATTTAGCTGGCTTGCAGGTTAAGGAACTTGAAATTGCCAGATAACCTAGGTAGGAGTAGGTTGAACAGAGGTTGTACATGGTCAAAAAATACTCCCAAAATGAAAACAAAACCAAAAACCTGACAAGTCTGAAGTAATTCTAGTGGAATTTCCTTTTCTGTTCTCAAGCTTGTCTAAGTCTGTGTATGTCTGCTGAAGGTTTGTTTAGCTCAAATACAAGGATATATTTTAATGCCTGCATGTGCCCCTTGTAAAGAGAGATAGTAGTATTTTTCTCACATATATTTCCTAAAAGATTAACAGGTTCTTGAATCATCATTTCTTTCTAAATAAAACAAAATGTTACAGGATAAAACTGGCAAGATTTTCTTACTGTAACAAAAGTAAACACATTTTTAAAAACAGGCAGGAAAGCTATGCTGGTTTTTTTGCTTTTAAATCTCTAGTGCAGTGATTATTGTTTCCAGCTATAGGTTAATAGTTATGACTAGAATTTTTTAAAATAGCCTTAACTTTCATTACACTGGAAATTTTTATGGAAATTACCTGATAATACCTTCTTTAATGTACATTTTCTTTATTCTGATAAATACACTTTTAAACATCACTTTTAAAATGCCTTGCCCTTCAGAAATGTATTTACTGTAATTAGAGTGGTGCTTGTGGTTCCAGGTAGTATGCTTCTCTTAGTTTCAATTTAACTTATCGTATGACCTTGTTGATAAGGGAGACCCTCACATCTGACTTTTAGGATCTTCCACAAACCTTTCCCACATCAAGGCGTAGGTTGACTTCTGAAAATTCTCAGGACGTTGACATTTTACATTTCTCAGAGCAGAACAGTCTTTCAGGGAATCCACATAGTCAGTTGTTTGTGGTCCCTTCTGTACATCTTGAATTTACTGATAACATTTGTGAAGGTAAAGAGTCTTATCTGGAGATGCTGCAAAATTTATTGATCACATCAATTTTCCCACCAAGAAAGTAGAAGATGGCTTGTATTCAAAACCACCATGAAAGTGTTGTGTACTACGGGCATTAGCATTTATCTGCTGTGGTGAGAACACATGATGGGTATCTCTTTGTGGTATTATAATACCTAGAAAGACATTAACAATTCCGTTAAAATTTCATGTACTCTGGACCTCTTAGGGTACTGAAGCATATATTCCATTTGGAGGAAAACGCCTGATAAATTTTCACCACAGCCCTCTACTTCAGGGGCTACTTAAGGGACCAAATAATGATTTTTTTATTGTATGGCAATATTTTATGCCAAGTCTTTTTTTTGGTTGAAGGTAGTGCCTTTGTCTGGGAGAGCATTGCAGTTACTGCAGAATAGGTTTTACTGTTCCTATAGAGTGAAAGCTGGAGGCTAAAATTCTATCTTTGTAAAGGGGTGTTTCCTTTTGTCTGTGATGGAGCAGCAAACTGATCTTCATTAAGTAGTTCAAAGTATGTCTTAGAACTACTCTTGATTTTATAATTTCCTGTGACGAAGAGCCTGCTTCAGACTTAAAGGTTGTTGATTATTAATTGCTGTCATTTCTCAAAATTAATGAATTAATGAAAGAATACACCTTATTTTTCATCTGAACTTTAACTTCCTGCTCCTGTCTAGCAGACTGTAGTGACATGCCTGACCTGCACAGGCTGAAGCTTCCTACCTTAAAGCAAAACACTGAGCTGCTTGAGGTTTTTCACCAAAACTTATGTGAACTGTCATACTTCTCAGTCCTTGTAATTGCTTTCCCAACTCATTTCTGAACCCCTTAGAATGCATCAGTATCTTCTCAGAAAAGGTATTAGGGCTGGATACTGTGTGAATGTGGTGGCGGATAAGACTGTATCAGAAGCTTAGGTGAAAAATTCAAAAGCATCCTTTCAGTATCTTATCAGGTTATTTTTGGTCTGTCATTTCTTTCCACCTGGAGAAAGCCATAATTATTTATTCCAAGAGGAGTTGTTATAATGTGAATTATTAAAAAATATCCAGCAATAAAAAACATTCTGCTAAGTGAGGGTCTGTATTAATATGAGCTAACTTGCCTGTACAGTCTTAGTGATGTACTGTACCAATCCAAAGCCTGATTTCTTGCAACTCTGCAAGTATAACAACAGTCACGTTGTCTACGTTGATCTTTGCATTTAGGAACACTGTTAGGAATATTGTACCATAATGTGCCAGAAATCTAAATTACCAGCCTATATAAATTAACTGTTCTCAAGCAGAAATGTGAGAACAGGTAGTGAGTTTGGATGCAAATGCATTGCATCTAGTTACTT